TAGGCAAAGTCCCTAACATAACATAGCAGTTGGTGAAAAGCTTCAGCAATTTTATTACAAGTACACTCCAACAATTGAGTGCAATAAACCAAGGAGGAGATTCTCAGCATTGTCATGACACAGCCAGGAGTCACACAGGCTGGGTGCTTTATCAAACCCTGACCATGATGTGCACCAGTGCTCGGAATCCTGATCATGTGCTGGTTCCTTCCAGCTGGCCAGCAGTGACCTTCCCTCCGCTCTTCTGCACTGGCCATCCCGTCAGCATGTTATTCTTTGGTGAACAGCTTTCAGGCTCCATAGTCATTACCTTTACCGAGTACCCACGAGTCTCTGCTGCCCACGACCGGTCCAAGTCTACCAAGCCCATACACTCTTTACCTGGAGTGGTCCAAAAAGAAAAATGAAAGTAATATAACAAAAGAAAGAAATCATTCAAGAACTTTTTATGTCTTTATGCTTAAATGTAAACACAACAGGAACACCATATTTTTTAATCAATATCAATCAATCAACAATGAGGTATGATAACAAAATAAAAAGCTTCAAAATGTACCAATCTCAGCTGAAAGTTACAACCGACTGGCAGATGTTTTACAGCTGATGTGACACTGACAAGCATTAGTAAAACAAACCTGATGTCAGAGGTGAAACCAAGCAGCAGCCTCCGGGGCTGTGAAACGAAGCCAATGTGGAAATGACAAAACCTGCAGTTCCTCAAACGGCCACTAGAGGCAGGCTCCATAAGAGAGCCATAGACTCCCATGTTAAAATGCCCAACTTTACAACATGTTTACAGCCTGGTACAAAAAACGGTTTTGGTCTCTTTAGCTAATTTCCTCGTCCATGACAACTGTACAGGGTGAATATTTTTAGAACTCACCCATTTCAATTATATTGAGGCTACAAGGTATACATAATTAAGGGCGTGGCCACCTTGATTGACAGACAGGAAGGCTCCGCCATTGGTGGCTAGCCGCTAGCTGTCTAGCCAGCTCCACCTCTTTGCCCCTTTTTGGATTAACCTTACCAGGCGGAGTGGAGCTTAGCAATATGGCAACGGCAAAAAAGCAATGGGGGACGTCATGGTGGGTTTGTCCATCTTTTATATACAGTCGGTTGTTGCAACTAATGATTATTTTGGTTATTAAATAAACGAATTATTTTCTCGATTAGTTGATTAACTCCTTTGTTTGTAAAATATCAGAAAATAACAAATGCTGCCCACTGAAGTTTCCCACAGTGCAGATCTGATGTGTAGTAGTACTACTATATTTCTTAGCATATTATTAGGTAATCTTCATATTTATCCACTTCCTGTCTTCATGCTTTGGTGTGTATCAGTGCCCTACGGACAGTCACTTATTCATCATCAACTTCACACTGCTTATTACACTTTTCTCTTAGGGTTTCCTTTAAACACAGATTTCAAATAGCGGTTTAGCAGTTAGGTAGCAGACACAGTAAATGCAAGCTTAGCTCTGGAGAGATGAGATCAAACATGGTTAGAAGATTTAGTCCGAGGGGTTGGGCCCTGTTAAATGCTACAGAGCAGAAACTGCTGTGACAGGTGGTGTCAGGATATATGAAAGGGCTTCAGACTGACGAGGCATTGGGGAGCCTCCTCGGATACAGTGGGAGACTTTGATAAGGCGTAGAATATCAGGGAGAAGGAAGTCCTCCACATAATAAAACAGCGAAGCTTCAGCGCGAGCCCGGAGGTTTCACTCTGACAAAACACTTCCCTCTCATTCTGACAACGCCGATCTGGCAGCTGTTCACTGCAGATGTTTTGTCACACTGACGAAATCCCCACATTAACATTTCTCACACTTTCCAAAAGTCTAGACCTTTAGAAAAAGTCGAGCAGTGGGGATTTGTTCACAGTGTGAAAAATCTCAGAAAACAGGTGTGACAACAAGAGTCATGTACACATGTGCAGTAAATCTGTCATGTCGGTGTCTAAGACACTGGACTACATGGCAAAATAGACATCAAACTGGCACTGTGATTCTGAGCCGGCAAGGTCAGGAATTTAAAAGTCTTTCTGGAAAAAAATGTGCCTGAATTTTCTATATGATGTGAATCTAAACAAGGAAATGTAGCATAAAAATGTACATTACAAATTATACAATTGTATTACAATAGCCAAATAATAAATACTATGGTATCCATTTTTATTGTCAGGTATTTAAAAAGGCACAAGTGGGTGAATGTTGTGTTTTTAGGAGTAGACTGCAGGCAGTACCTATGAGTCTCCTCTCAGGAGGGAGCTGGAAACCAGTTTGGTCTGCAAAGCGGCACAGGATCATGTGTTCCTGAAACAATGAGTACAGAAGTGTAATCAATATTCATCCATCTTTTTTTTCTGTATCTTCTTATCCTACTTACAGCCATGGAAGGGGGAAGATGGGAGGGTTTGTGTGTGTGTGTGTGTGTGTGTGAGAGAGAGCCTATCTCAGCATGCACTGGCTGAGAGACAGTAGGTCGCTAGTCAATCACATGGATAAACTGGCAGTTCGGCTCTAGGCATGGCTGACTTTCGGTCAATCCACCACTTGGATCTAAACTAAAATATTTCAACAGCTCTACGATGGATTGTCATGAAATTCTGAAGTCATTCATGGTCCGCAGAGGACGAAACCTAAATACTTTAGCGATCTCCAGATGAACTCTTACACAACCAGCAAGATGACCTAATTGGTTATGAGCATCATATAAACTGCCATTCAAAAGTTGTGGGTCAGCTGTATTTTTTAGTCGCTTCTGAAGCAAGTCAACAGCCAAACATACTTGTGACGTTATTTCTACAGTCGAAATCAAATATAGACAACACTGCAGCAGACGATTCCACAAATGTGTTGCACTGCTTTGGTTGCTTTGCTGTCACACTTCATCTGGAAAGTCTAGACACTGTGCTGCTATCCCATTATGTGAAGCTGACCGACTTATTTTCTTCTACACACCTTGGAGGTGTTTTCTGGCTCATTATCCTGCTGCAGGATAAAACCCTTACAAGGTCTGACTTCCTTTTATAATTGCCTTTTTCCAAATAAAGCTTCAGAGGGAGTAACAGTCTTTTCCAACACTGCCTTTGTACACACAGAACTTCTTGTTGTGAGGAATCAACAAATGTTGGGACACCTGTAGGAATTGTTTGCAACAAAATTTCAAGGCGAAATTTACTTCATCTGCTGCAGCAAAGATGTAAGTTTATCTGTTACTTGATCCCTGAAAAAGGGCTATTTTACAAACAAATTAGATACAATTTTAGCTTGTTGGTGTTTTGTTTTTCCTCTGGCAGTTAGCTTCTTAGCCTTGTACCATTTAAGTTTATTGATGGGACATGAATTGCTTAAATGTCATAATAAAAAGTAGAAAACATGGGGATGACCCCAAACCATTGAACAGCAGTGTATGTTGACAACTGTTCTTCTCTGGATAAATTACAATAACACTGGTGATAGGCTGACTTTTCATCTACCATCATTCTCAGGTCAAATTTTCAAATTACTGACTTCTTGATATCTTATATTCAAATACCTGCAAAACTAATGACATTTCCAGTAGCCTCAGCTGTACTCTGTGTTTAGTGCTAATTACTGTCACACACACAAAAAACTAGCATGCTGTTGTCTCTTTTAAGCATCACTGGACTGAGTAAATTTGATAGACCAGGAACATTTCATATACATGATTCTAAATGTCTTCGCATAACATCATCCCTGTTAATGCTCCAGAAAGGTCAAATGAACCCTGGTTATTTATTTGGAACCAATGTTTTTTTTTTTTTTTTTGTCCTGGTGTTACATCTCTATGGTTCATGAAAAAGTGACTCAGGAGAGCAGCTAGCTGTCTCTAATGTGCTTCTAATTTAATTGGTTCCATTTCTCACTCCATGAGGTTGATGCTAAATGCAAGGCCACATGGCAGGCACTTACAGTTAGCACTGAGCACTAATATCGCACACCATTAGGCCTTTATGACACTGATTCACAATTTGTCAATGCGCTGTCATTCAGTCTAACTACTGTACGCTCAGGAAGGACAACTATGATTCTTGCAAAAAAAAAAAATGCAATGTAACTTTTATATCTGCAAGTGCTGACTGCAGGTTTAGGAGCTCAGACACAGGAAATGGTGAGGTTCTGTATACTGAGTGCAAATGAATGCAAAACAACAAACCTGGTTGGTGAACCACGGGTTTAAAGTGGCAAAAAATGTGTCTACTGGTTTAAATAGAATATAAAAAAAAAGAAGTTAGAGGCGGTCCAATCTTGTGACATGTCAACTCTTGAGGTTGCTACAACTAGGACCTGTAGCAACAATTGCACAGATTCTCCCCAGGGGCACTGACAGTACCCATACATCATCATGGGATGGGCCCTCCCAGAGTACAGTGCTGTGTCTGTGCTGAGCGATAAGGGATGGAGAGCCTGGAGGGTGTGAGCCAACCTCTTGCAACTGCCTGGGGAATCTTTGTTCCCAAGACAGTGATGAGCCCAGAGATCTCATTAATTTTATTTTACCGTATTACAAAAGAACAAACAGTAAAACAAGCAAACAAGATGACAATATTATAGAAACAAGCAGAAAAAAATTTCACTCATGCCAAGCAAAAATAAATCTGTCAGTTTGGATCCATCTGAATAATAAAAGGAACCCGACCCATGCCTGTGAGTGTGGCATCCAAACCCGACCCAGACCCAGCAAGCTTATAGTATATAATGTCCTAACCAGCCTGAGCCAGAAGCAGTTGAGTTTGTACAGTGTTTTTCTCCATAACATTAAATGAAGCAGCCATTTAAGCTAAAATTTGACCTACACGCCCAAACCTGACAAGGACTCAAACATAATTTCTAAATTTCTGTCCAAACCCAGCCCAAACCCTCGGGTACCGTCAGGTCCCATCAAGCTCAGTTCGGGTATTCACAGTCTAGACTGGAGATGTACACATCACTAAACAAAAATGACTTGCACCACACAAAGTACAGAAGTTTCTATGTTGAGATTAGATGTTACTAAATATTATACCCAGTAACTGCTGGTGCAACTGTTATGACCAGTTCAGCATAAAGAATAACAGAGATGCTGATCTGGCCCAACTTCATGATCAAATTGATAGTTAATGCAACAGATGGATTCAATTACACTTAAAATCCTACCTTGTTAGACAGTGTCTCTTGAAACCGTTTGCTGCAAAACAAAAAAGATAAACCATTTTGATGTTAAAAGTGCAGTGACAAAGACTGATGAAATGTATTTTACACACTTGCATGTGATATATTTACATGCCCAGGTCTGGCGTGTACATTTTATTTTAGAGAAGATCACTTTACAAACAGAATGGGAATATTTAATCAAATGGGCACAACAAAACACAAGCATGCATTATCTCTCAAACAAATCCCATTTTCTCTGGGAAAGAAGACATTTTGTGAAAACAGGGCGTTTGCTATTACATAGTAAGGCAGTGTGTTCATGATGGTTAAATGTAGTCAGATTAATGCTGAAGTGAATCAGACATGAACAAGAAGAGGGTGAGGGGTTAGGGGCCAGTCAGGTCACATGATGAAAAGTCTTAAGTTTAACTCGATCTGTTGGGGCCTTAATGAAACAGGCTGTTAAGTTTCACAGCTCATAAAATTCGGTGAACTGCCTGGAATGTCTGCACCTGCAGTTCTCACATGAGTACCTGGAACATGACCTGAGGGGAAAACACTAAAAGTAGCATGTTAGAGACTGACACAGTCAGGTGCCTGGGCCCTTTGCACGCACTGCCCTGCAGAAACACAGTGTCTTGTGGTCTGTTACAGCTGCAAAGTCTTTTTTGTCATTATTTTCTGCTTTATGAGGAGTCAGGAGGGTTGAAGTGTCATGTTAGCGAAAACAAGAAAAGGAAAAACGACATATGTCACAACTCATAAATATTTATACTGTACGCTGAGGCTCCTCCTCAAGACACAACTTCAGGGTCAGTAATACCATGGGCAGAGAAAATATTCATTTCCTAAGTGTAGGCACAGAACACCGGAAGCACAGTAACAGTTAACAGTTTAAGCACTGCTCCAAGTCAGCCCTGGTAACCACAGTAACGATAGCTACGCCTCACACTGCATTACTGCTGTGTTGAAATGAACCTAAACATTTGTTAAACTGAAAGCAGTGGCATATGCTGGGTATGCTGCTCTGTCATCTGGCATTAGCACTTCTTGGAAGAAACAGTTTTATGAATCAAATTCATCTACAATCCAGAGAATTACACACACAAAATGATAGGACAAACTAGGAAAATGCAGCAGAACACCACATGAAATGGTAGAATGATTTAACATGAAATGCTGTGGACGGAGGCACAACATTAACGTTCCTTTAAGTCAGATACCTTTTGTGTTGCTATCACAAGAGTCCGTTCCAGGATTAATGTGGGCAGTCAACCATAAATTGTTCTCTAAATGTTCGCTACAGAGATCTCACTGTTTTAATGTTATCTGATAATTTAGCTTCACCTCTGAAGCTGAACCCTGATGTGATCGAGTCCAGCTTCTGTAGAGCAGAGCGACACTGTGTGAATAATAAACAGCGTTTTCCACAAACCTCAGCATAGGCGGGAACAACACGTGTCACAGTGGTAATTATACACAACAAAGCTGAAAAAAGATATAGAGGGAATAATAAAAATGCAGGATATAAATGACAGAAATCAGACTGAAAACTATTTTGTTTTGATTGACTAAAGCCCCTTTTCCACCACATGGTACAGGATAAACTCAAATCGCCTTATTTGTGTTTCTGTCCGTCAAATGTTGGGGATAGTACCAGGTACTATCGAGGTTCCAAGTGAACAGAGGGGATGCCAAACCGTGATGTGTAAACACTGCAGACTAGCGATTGGTCAGAGAAATCGCATCATCAACATGAGAGACATCCTGGAACAAAGAAAGTAGTTGCTTTACTAACTCGTCAGCTGCTGATGACATCATGGAAGCGTAATGTGGTGTCACTATGACAACCAGCTACACTGAGACGGGACCACTTGCAGTGGAAAACCAAGAACCCGGTACCAAAACCGAGTAAAGTCAAGTCGAGTCAAGTTGAGCTGGCACCAGGTGATGGAAACGGGGCTTAAAACTAGACAAAAACTAACAAAACGCAAAAGACTACAATTTAAGTAAAACTAATATGCATTGTCAACAAAAAACGACGACTAAATCTAAATCAAATTCAGGTGTAACAATTAACACTGTGCTGAATGTGGTACGCTCCACCAGCAGATGCTTCTACTTATACTTAGGCTAAAAGATCTGCAGGGTGAATTTATGTTTACTGACACCTACAAAGAACAGAAATCGCTCATGTGACGACTCCTTTCACCAACACATTTTTAATTATGACAGAAACTAGTATGTATTGAATGACTGAGTACATTCAGACACATACACAACAATGCACACACGGTCACACTGGTGGGAGTCTCAACCCCTGAAATCACAAACAAGAAAACAAATTCTGGCATGTTTCTGTTCCAAAGCAGAAACTGACGTGCAAAGAGCAGACAGGGATAAACGGTAAATTTGGATGGAATATCGGATGAAGTGCTGAGGGCATGAAGGAATATGCAGAGGTGACTCAGTTCACAATGAGCTGCGACTCTGCACCGAAACCTGATAACTGGATTGTAAAATAAGTTTGACTCAGACGCTTTGCGCACCATTTCACTCTTTGCTTGCCATTTTTGCAGCAACTACATGAGAGAGAAACTTAGTAGTATCTTTTAGCATCACACACTATATGACGTTATCACTCAAAGGACCTCAGCTGGAACAGATTTGGTCCACATGCCAAAATCACAGCTATAATCGGTCTCCACCTTAACTTACATGCGGCCGCGGTCTCTCACTTGCTGCGACAATCCTACACAGCCTTCGACCTCTAAAAGTTGTTTTAGTGACATATTCTATCTTGGTATGATTCTTAAGCCATTACAGTACCACTGGTCAACACAGTGCATGCTATAGCAACAGGCACAACACAATTAAAGTACAGTCTGTCTTTCCACTTCTCCTTCTCTGCCTGCTTGTTTCTCCCATCTCCATTCAAACAGCACACTTTACATTACAGCAACGCCGGCACTGAAAATTAAGTGGTTAATACTCTGTAACACTGTGTGTGATAATGTAATACTAACAAGAGAGGCATTTCCAGTCTTTCCGCAGCTTGACTGTCCTGTCACACTGTAATATCCATGATAATCTCCACATAAAGAAGCCTTTTGTCTGCTGCTGATAGAGCAGGGCCGAGATTGAAAAGGTGAGGGGCGGATCCTCGTGTGAAGGCAACACAAACACTGCTGCCTCATACTGTCAGTGGTGATGATAAGAAGAAGGGGGTGAACAAAAAGCTGCGACAGGAGTTATGTATTGTGTTTATGTGTCAGAGAGAGTGTATACGAATGTGAACAGCGAGTGAACAGAAGAGAAGCACAGACACAAGCAGGGGTCTAACAAGAAAACCACAAGGAAAGAAACAACATCTAAAAAGCAGGAATCTAGAGAGGTGACACTGGACCGAGGTGCGACGAGCAGGTACAAACCTTTTTGGGAAGGTGAACTTGACTGCGTTCTGGATGAAGCCATAACAGCAAGGGCTGATGACAAAGGCAGCTCCTGCTTGAATGCAATGCTCCATCACCATGTCTGTTGCAACACCACATGCATGCAGGGCAACCTCAAGTGAAACACAAAGCAAATACAAAACTTAGTCTCACCAGTAAAATCTAATATTTCTTAAAAACCTTCTCTATCCAACAGCCAGACCAAACTGAGAGCACTTGAGAGCCTGCACTAAATCCCACTTCAAAATGGCCTCTGCTATTAAATACATCTATGCCTTCAAAAGTGCAGACTTGGGAAGGTAAAGCAAACAATATATATTAAAACTTTTAGAAGTGGAGGCACGACTGTATCAGGATTCCAGTGGAGTGGGTAAACTGTGCGTGGTGATGAACACCTAGCTATGCATTAGTCATGGTGTGGTTATATATTGGATGGTGGAAAGAGACTAAATACCCAATATTATAGCCTGTCTGTATTCCAGCCACCTCTCTCATGCCAGTCCAGCAGCAAAAATACATTATGCCTCCTCAAAGGCTATGAGTTTAATATCCAAAGTACAGTGATAAAATAGATGATTTCCTCTCAAGCGTACATTAGCTAAATAGATTCTCTGTTAATGGTCCAAATAAAGTGCATTATCAACAGTCTGGTGTGATAATAGCAACTCAGGCAAGAGTCAAAATAAACCTATGCAACTCAAGCTGCCAGCTCAACCCTCTAGTCTAGTCTTCCAAGAAGTTGTCACTCGGCGTCTGTGAGTCTGAACCTACTGCGTGTTACCTTGGCAGCAGTGCCACAGAGCAGAAGGTCAGAGCCAGTCAGGACAGGGCTGAGCCAATACTGGCTCCAGCTCCAAAGACTAGGGACAATACAGACACAGACACAAACATGGCCAAACACACTTATAAAGTCACTGAAATGTCTGTGTGAGGGAACATTTCTCAGAGGTGCATAAGCTCTCCCTGGTAGTTGCACGACTGCGGCAGTCCTTTCCCCTCATAATCGCACAAGAAACCAAGCGCTTATTAAAAACCTGCAGAGTTTTTAATATGCAACTTTACATTTAGTACTAGAAATTAAGTTTTCTCATCTGCATGAGGAGCTCTCCATGGAACTGTGGTGTATCCGACCTGAATGCTTATCAAGACAGACCAATACATTCCTCTTTGAAAAGATCTGCATTGATTTAAAAATTAAAGTTATACAAGGAGACTCTGCACATGAAGGAATAACCAGAAAGTGAAAATTGGGAAATTAGCATCAATTATCTGCATGGCCTTGCATCTATTTGACATCTAATTTTCTCTCCTGCTTTCATTCACGGCATCAGGGAAAAGCCCTATAATTGCCCAACACCGTGTTTCAGCCTGCTGATTAGGAGGAGTCACAATGAACGACTGCATCATGTTGCATCTCCCACATCTGAAGCAAAATAATTAACAGAGTAACACAATTCCTCTTACCCAGCTACTTAATGATGTACATTAGTCATGCTGTGGTAACTTCTAATTACATGTTATAACCTTTAGCTTCTGTTTAATAAAAAAAAACAAACAAAGCTATGCAACTAACAAAAATGAACACAGCTAAAATGCAACAGAGTCTGATATGTTTTGATAAAGAATCCTTGTTTTATCAGTTACTAAGAAATATTTTGCCTGGTTAGTCAGCAGCACCGATACCGCAGTGCGCCAGCCCGATATTTCAAAGAAATCTACTGAAATAATCAATTGCATGCAATCAGACCCTTAAGCATCACCAATAATGGACCTGGATTCAATAAGATCCAAAACAGCTTCAAGCTACACAACTTTTCCTTTATCTGAGGTCTGCTGGCTCAGTGTTACCCCAACAAAAATTAAATACACTGTAGGTAAAGGCTGGTTCTGACACCAGACTAACACCTGGACCATGCAACTGCAGACAAGAAGAGCAGGCACTAACTAAGAATAGGGACACCTCAACTTAATTAGCCTGATTAAATGAGCATGACTAAAAATGGACTCATACATAATACACAACAGAATTATAATCAGCGTAATAGGTGGCTCCTTCAGGTAAAAATATCTGTGTCACATCCAGAAGAAGAACAGCTGAGGCTGCATAAATAATGTATGAATCTCATTACAGAAAAGGACAAGCTTAAGCACTTGCTTTCCACATAAATCTTAACATTCATATGTAGAAACATCCCAAAAGCGTGTGCATAAACTTTCTGACCAAGTTACAAAAAAACACCCACACGATGTAGACAAGAACAGTGTGTTGTTAGTTTCTTGCCAAGTGGAACAGGTCTCATTGGAGTGACGATGCTGGTGAACAATAGCTACTTCTAATTACAGCAGGTACATAGAAAGTGTATTCCTATATTTGTCTTAAAGAGTTACAGTAAGGCTACTAAAACAGATGGCTTTCCTGAAACTGGGCTATGACAAATGGCAGGAAGATGGTTCCTTCAATATGTTTGGGGGAAGATAGTGACCTGAGACATAAATAACAATGATTAAGAGTGATGACAATTAGGATTTGATGGGAAAGCAAATGTTGCGTGTGTGGGAATAGGATTTCAGACAATCTACACGAGGTAAGATGATCTTTTATAAATCCCAGTGGTGTTTTTTTGGTTGCACAGCCAGATTCAAATAGTTCAGGACTTGTTTTCTCTAAAATAATAGCAATTATCAGAGAAGCCAGGAGCAGTTGATGAAGATGGCTCTTTTAAAAAAGCCCGGTGAGGGTTCTAACTTGCACTCAGAGAGCTACTCACTGCTGAATTTTTAGTTTGATTTAGTCCCGTAAAACATAAAGTTTGAAAGCTAGTAAAATGTTTATACAGCTGTTGCATGTAGCTGTGCAGAATTAAATACATTAACTAAGCTGGGTCTTTTAGCTTTACAAACACAAGCAGGCAGAACTGGTAAAGATGCAGATGTAAAATCATATGTAACTAAACACTGTCCTTTCAAAAGATTACTTCTGTGCCTTCAATAACAACCTAACTCTTACCCTTAAGCCAAAAGGTTTTTTGAATAACAGATTTTCACGATAAAAAAACAAATAAACAAAGAAAGTCATTAATATTCCTCATGCAACAGATATTTAACCCTGATGTTACCTTTGTCCTTCATTTTCTGGGTAAAAACTACTTTTTGGATTTCTAATAAAAAGAGAGAAGACAGTGACATACACTGCTTGAGTGAAGTGCAGAGCGCTAAAAGGGTTCTGATTAAAATCTCCACTTCAGGGAATGAAAAGTCATCTTAGCAGCTTTGGCAAAAATAATTGCATGTTGGCATTTTCAGATTGTGGAAAAAGATGCGGGAATGACACGTCTCTCTCCATGTGATGTGTGGTTGTGATTTTCTGAAATGTATAAATAATCATAGACTAAAAATTGACTGTTAAGACACCTTGCATTAAAGTTGTGATTGTGGCAGGCAGAGAAGTGCAGTGTTTCTCAGTTTGGGTACTGGGTTATACGCTTAGTCATTATTGTTATTTTAATTTCCCAACCAAAAGATCAAGTCAAAAAAGGTTAATGTACATACGTATATACAGTAGGGACACTCAGACTGGACAAAAACTGAAATGATGGCAACTGTTTACACATAGATTATAGCCATATGGGACTGGATAATTACTCTAGTGATATCTATAATGACAGGGATTTGCTGATAAGAGCACATTTTCTTTGCGATGGGGCTCACTAACATGGCAGTGGGACTACACTGGTCTGATTCTCGGTTTGCTCGTGTGCAAATGAGATTTTGCATCCCATGCTTTCGGGTTCCCTTTTCTATGTTTTAATTGTTATGTTAGAAGGGGAGTAGTGTAAATGGAAAATGTATTTAGATTAGCTTAAAATGTGGAATTAAAAAACTGGATAGCAATGACAATTTTAACAAAATGGCACTTTAAAAAACTTTCACAAATTAAGGACAAAGGAAATTAAATCAGTGCTACAAACTCTGCCAAACTGTGGCTGACAGAATAATTACAAAAGCTAAGCTGTTAATTTAATTTTCTGTTAATTTTAATTTTCTCATGTCATTTTAGCAATTGTTTAATAATCATTCATTTTTTAAACAACTTTTAATTTTGCATTTGCAATACTTTAGTTTTAGCTACCCACAAATTCTTTTCAATTGTCAGGTCACCTGAGATGGTCCACAGATATTGTCTACAAAATCTATGGACCATCAAACAACGGGTCAAAAAAGAATCGGTGCAAATGCAGATTTTTGTACATTATTTCTAGCTACTGTATGCTCACCCCAATGTGAAAGGGTCCAGTGAAGTAATCCAAATTGGCCTGAATGAAGTTGATGTTTTTCAGACCAAGCTCCCTAGTCCGACTCTGTGCCCTGACCAAGGACTCTTCTTTGTTCTCTATGAGAATGACCTTGAACAAAGACACGGTTGCATGTGATTGCTATCCTTCACTTGATGATAATAATCACATGAATTATTATTATTATTGTTATTATTACTACTACTATTATTATTGTTACTACCATTATGCACAAATTACCTGACAATCTGGAAGAGAGTGAGCCACAACAATCCCTACATGGCCCTGAAAGACAGCACAAAAAAGCTAATGCACAACAGGAATATAGCATTCATCAAAGAGTGCATTAATAGAGTTATGATTAGTGCTGCCCTTTCCAACCAAGTATTGACCCTTTAGCTGAGCAGTGCCACCACTCTGAGTATGCGTTTTCATAAGGGTAATTACCAGTCCGTGTATACCGGCCAGCAATGTCATGCATTTAAAGAAGAAATTAAAATATGGGAATATCAGAACTAACTTCTCTGAGCTGGCTCAAATTCAGCCATTGTTGGGTACAGTGATAAATATAGAGAACATGCAAACCTGGATTAATGACTGAGTGCACGTACCGTTCCACTGCAGAAATCCACAATGGTGTATCCTGGTTTGGCTAGCTGTGCAACCATGGCAACCAAGTTATTCAGCTGTTCCTGCTTCCTGACTGCACGGATATTTGACATTTTCCCTGCAAAAAAGCACAGGTTCTTATTGTATTTGAGCATAAAGTGGAAATGCAACAGGCCTTTATGGTCAATTAATCTGATTACTCAGTTAAGAGGGAAAAAAAAAGAAGAAAGCTATCAAAATTAAATGGGATTTTGTAATAACTATAAAAGCTCAGTTCCAGTCAATATTAACTCATTACAGTAAACACCTTTAACAACAAAAAGGTTATTAAAAAAAATCACACTACACAACTTTCATTGCCCTGTAATGTCTTCCCTTCCTTTGCTGACAGTGAGCAAACAGGCTTCTACACCAACTACTCAAATTTTGATTTACAACCAGCCATTTCAGGTAATGGTTATAGCACACAGAAGGAAAAGGCCTCCACTCTCTCATCAGAATGTTTCCAGCCAACTGCCAACTAGGGAGCGCAAACAATCTTTCAGTATCTTCAAAAATAGCCTCTGAGCCAAAATCGTATGTTCCTGTTTTCAGCAGAACTTTCTGCTGCTATGCAAGCAGTATGTACCCCATTAACTCAAAGCACATTTCAGTCTCCTGCATCTTCCTCTCGCATTTTCAAGCATGCCACATTGGCAGTGACTTATTGATGTGCTGAGCTGAAGCCATCTCTTGTCTATAAATCTAGAGTGATGAGTGTTTCATTCACCGCCGAGTCACACCCTCATACCCACACACCAGGAAAATCAAAAAAATTGTATTCCTATGCTTTCCTGTTCACACTAGTTTGTATACAATAACAGGGGAGGTGGCAGAAGACACTTTTCATTTTGGTGACACAAATGGGGAATTTTATTCAGTCTTTCACAGTGGCTGGTGTTGAGCTGATCCCAGTTGTAGGGAGAACACAATAAAGAAATACTGGGGAAAGAAGTGGAGAGGTATTGACAAGTCTCTGCTCTTCATTTGAATGAGTAATTCACATGGGTGCAGACATGTCTGTGTATCCACAGCTCCAGAGGATGGCTGACTCTTTTGATATATCTGAACACAGTTAGATTTTAATCGCACTTTGCAAAGTAGAGTATGAATAAAACGACAGGGTAGAAATAGAAAGGCTTAGTGTGGAGAAATAGAATGCAATGTAACCACACAAAGAAACATTGTAGACTGTCAGACTGTCAGTGTAGGACTGAAAATGACTGATTCAATATACAACACTAACAAACACGGCCACTAGCTGGCAGCAAACAATCTTTAGACACAAACCTGGCATATTATTACTTAACTAGACAGCACTCAGAGAGTGCAAACCTCTGCCAAGGCAGATCACTGTCCCCATAATGCCTTTCCACCCAAAGGCAATATTCCCATGATAGTCTGTCCAAGCACTGTGGCCATAATGTATGGAGTAAGAAGCACAAATACTGAAATTAGCCCAATCAACAAACAAATGCCAGCAAAAACAGTACCTCTGCTAAAGTTGAGATGAAACTTGTTAACAAATACCTACAGACACATTCAGCAGGTACAGAGCAACATTATAGTCATATGGAGTTGTGTTTGTGGCAACCTGTCTGAGTCCAGCAGTCATTTTCCTTTTAGCTCTGTTATTATCTCTACCAACCCCTGAGGGAAACAGCTGGCTCTTTAGCTCTTAAATGCTTTACTATGTTCATTTTCTGTGGTGTGATGCTGGGCAGGTAGCAGTTACTTGGTTTGGACAGCTTTTGAAATTAGCTGCCTGCTATTTCTGGAAACGATGACAGCAGTGAAAGTGAACCAAAACAGTAAAGGTCTTGGCCTGAAAATCAAAACAATGAGCTGAAAGACACTATAATGCCCAACAGAACTGTTGAGAACTTCAGAGTACAAGTACGTTCATCACTACAAGTTGCTAATTTCACAAAGAAGCAGTCATGTGAGTAAAAACACTTATTAGCTGCTTTAAGAACAGAAGGTCTTGTCCAAAATCTAATCCGGGAAAAGTCTTAAATTTAAGAGTGCTTTCCAAAAGATCCTTGTTCACTGTAAACTATGATTTGTTGAGGATAATTGTGGGTGAGGATTTGCAAATCCTGCTTTATGCTGCTGAGGCAAGCACTGGTGTAGGGCCACACAAAAGGTGTTTACAAAAGTTCAGACACAGCCTGAATGTTAATACGTGCAGAGAAACAAAGGACTAATGCTAGTTATACAAGTAGTAACAAAACAAAACTCAAATGCAAAGGGTGAGTGTTTCTTGTATAATAGAGTGCACATTGATTTTACAGTCTCTGTGTGTGTGTGTGTGTGTGTGTGTGTGTGTGTGTGTGTGTGTGTGTGCCTTTGACTTACAGCATTTCTATTCAAACCAGACTGTGCTTAATGAAAGGGCACTACACGGCTTATGGCTTTGACCATAAGCCGTGTAAAACTGAGTGGGTGCAGCAGAAGAGCAAACCACATGCCAGCTGACCTCACCCTTTGTTTTCAATTTCTTTTTTTTTTTAAACATGGGCTCAAGGAAAGAAGTAAATATAAGAGAGGTCTTTAAAGTTCACACCCTGGGTCACTGTAACTGCATCAAATTAAATTTCAGAGGAGCCTCATAAAGTATGTGTCAAACGGGGTGGAGGTCAAAAAGTCATAAGAATAAAAAAAAAAAGATGAGTGGCAATGCGCTGCAGAGAATACTAAACATTTCCAAGCTTAATAACACAAATAACAAATGTTCCTGCAGTATAATTCACATAACCTTTTATAGTGGACACCTAAGGGGAAAGAGACATAAAAGTGTATTTTCTTTGATTAAAAGATGGATCATATTAAGGCTGGTACATGTGAACTGTATGTGGCGTATTTAGCTCCAGACCAGATATAGACCTTTTCCCCTGCTCTTTGCGTAACAGACAGTGCACCCAGATAATGAGCCCATGAGGTAATGCTGCTACACTGCTTCTTTGCTAAGAGGGTCGACCAGATATAACTCACAGGCCAGCACCTCCCCCCAGGGTCTTCATGAGACATCATCTGTCTTGCAGGAGGACCTCAGCGCTGAGTTTCATTCAACTTGCCAAGCAGAATGGTCACACTGGGCGACTGTGAAACCCTCGATTTATAATTAATTCATCGATATTTATCAGGTACAGTATAACGTTTATGTTCACCATCATAGTTTAGCATGCCAACATTCACTATATAAGCAAAAGTACAGCTAAGTAAAGATTAGGCTAAAGGCTAATTCATTACATTTGCAGGCATTAGGTCATATAAACCATATTTGGACCTAACGGTGCTGCAAGATGAGAAGAAACAACAGTTCATTTTGATGGAAACGGTGAATGTACAGTAGATGTCTGCCAAAATTTTTTGGAAACACTGGAGTGGAGAAGCTTTCTGTTGTTTGGAGTTCTTATCCCTGAGAGGAGAAGGTTCAATCTTCTGAGAAAGGGGATGTTTCTTTTTCCAGCAGTACAAATGATGACAGCTTCTCCTTTACCACCACAACCAAGTGGATGAACGGATGAGCCATGACTGGCCTGTGGTGCATCGTGTGTATATGTGGACCCTCTTTTAGACCATCTGCAGACAGCCCTGTCACCACTGTTGCCTTTCAGGTGTATAATAAATTCTATGCAGTAGCCCTGTCACCACTGTTGCCCTTCAGGTGTATAATAAATTCTATGCAGTTGTAACATCTTTATGTTACACATCACTTTCCTAATATGAGACACCAGGACACATTATCTACAGGGTTTGACGGCAGGTCTTCTGATTGAAGGATGCTCTCCCTATTCACTAAGCAAATTACGTAAAAACAAAGCTCAAAGCTCGGAGCTTATGAATAAGCCATGATATGTCATCTAGCATTAGCCTTAATGGCAATGAATACAACTACTGCCTCCAGAATGAAGCTCAGGAGAATAAAATACAACACAGTTTTGGAACTGAGATCTCAGAAGTTTTATTCTAATGCCAAATCAGAAGACAGAAGCAATCACAGACGTAATTCACTGAGGTCTCAGATGGAGACAGGCCTATCCAGACAGTGATTCTTTCTCATGTACCATAACTATTTCGGCTGTCTTCCAGCCGCGTTATAAACAGCCATAGCAATCACATGTGACAGAAACTGACTCCAGCTGTAATCTAGCTGGGCCCAAACGATCCACTAGCAAGAAGAGATGTTGGAAGGGACAGGTGGACATTAACTCGACTCTTCTTATGCCTAATACTGTATGTTAAATAAATAAACAGATAATCATCTGCAACTATAACTACAACTGAAAGGATGACAATTGAGACAACAACAATATATGTCTGAGAGCATGATATTAAAAATTGAACACAATAAAAAGCTGGATTCAAACACCCTTTCAAATTCAAGCCTGGCGTGGTGGAATATAATCCCTTCTTTGTATTAATCAGTGATAATACACTGGCAAAGGAAAACACAAGGTTTGGCCAAGCCTTACTGAATAATAAAATCTTAATCTCTTAAAACACGCAGAACCAAACAATCCACCAGCATGACAGCATTCCTCTACTTGTTTCCAATCCAAATTTCATTACAGGTTTCAACAACTTTCTGGTGCTGTTATTTGCCTGTGTAAATTTTATTTGATGGCACTCATTTCTGAATAAAATCCTGAAACAAGGGAAACTGTAATAGGAAAAAGTGGGACTATTTTAACCAAATAACAGATGTGGGTTTTTTCTTTAAGGGTAAGAAAAGCCTGAACATATTTTTACACTGTACATAAGGACAAATGTTTGCATTTCCTGCAACATAACTACAAGACTTCCTTTGCAGTTTAAAATGTTATGACTTCCTTGCTCCAGCTTAGATTTCCCTGACCTGTCACTATATTCTGCTGGCATGTTCCACTGGTTGGAATCCGATGTGGCTCAGGTGTTTGCCTCTGAAAAACCTTTCTGTTTAACCTCCTTGCACAAGCTGATATGAACCAAAAGCAGAATATATTGACACTGGTGGTGTTCTGGCACAAATCCAGAGATGCCAGAACCAGTAAGAGTCTTTGAGAAATGAGTTTTCTGGGGTTTTTTTCCCAGCAG